CTACCTGAAGGGAGATTCCAAAGAGGATGGATCTAGACTGTTCTCAGTGGTGGCAGATGACAGAACAAGGAGCAATGGTCTCAAGTTGCAGGGGGGAGGTTTAGGTTGGATATTAGGAAACACTATTTCACTAGGAGGGTGGTGAAGCACTGGAATGGGTTCCCTAAGGCCTGGTCCCCACTAAGTCCCTACTTCGGACTAAGGTACGCAAATTCAGCTACGTTAATAACGTAGCTGAATTCGAAGTACCTTAGTCCGAACTTACCGCAGTCCAGACGCGGCAGGAAGGCTCCCCCGTCGATGCCGCGTACTCCTCTCGGCGAGCTGGAGTACCGGCGCCGACTGCGAGCACTTCCGGGATCGATCCGGGATCGATTTATTGCGTCTTAACCAGACGCGATAAATCGATCCCAGAACATCGATTGCGTGCCGCCGGACCCTCCGGTAAGTGAAGACAAGGCCTAAGAAGGTGGTAGAATCTCCATCCTTAGAGGTTTTTAAGGTCGGACTTGACAAAACCCTGGCTGGGATGATTTAGTTGGGGATTGGTCCTGCTTTGAGCAGGGGGTTGGACTAGATGACCTCCTGAGGTCCCTTCCAACCTTGATATTCTATGATACACAGTACATGAAAAGATGGGAGTCGACTGACCCCCCCACTCGGTAAGGCAACTCGCATCTTTTCATGTACTGTGTATATCTATCTATCTATCTATCTATCTATCTATATATATAGATATATAGATATATATGCGCCTACTGTATTTTCTACTCCATGCATCTGATGAAGTGGGTTTTAGCCCACGAAAGCTTATACCCAAATAAATTGGTTAGTCTCTAAGGTGCCGCAAGTACTCCTTGTTGTTTTTTTTTCAGAACCTCAGTTGATTTACTCTTGTCCTTGCAGGATCAGGACCCAAGTCATCTTAGTTAGTGATAAAGCTATGGGTTATAAAACCTCAGGGGTGCTGTTAGCAGCACAGTAACTACCACTTAAAACCTCTTGGCTCTCTTACTGTAGATTGCATCTCAACCCACCAATGCCCTCATGTGGAACAATGACCTAAATGACACAATACGATTATTGTTTTTGTTGAAATATTTTCATAAATGCAAGGTAAATAGATACCTCTGTTCAAGGTGGTAATATGCATCAGTCATTGCCTACCTATCTCTTTGTAATTCCTGTTTTTAAAACTGAAGACACAGCTGTGCCATGAAAGATACAAATCTATAAAGTCTGCAGCTACTCAGAGTTAACTCTGTTGGATAGCATTGTATTATTTTTTCTGTTGTGCAGCTCTGTATCATACTGATTTATGCCTTTAGATTGTAATAGTTTAATTTTTAAGGTGCTGCGTACCCACAACTCTCATTGACTTCAAGTGAAGCGGGTTTAATGATTCTTTTAGGTTCCTCTCTCATGAAACCTGTTTTGTGATATGGCATTTTTTTTATGTACATAATTTACAAGAATAGAAGTGAAAGGACACCAAGATATTATGAGGCTTATAAATTTAGATCCGATTTGAAAGACATGCCTTCTGATGAGGAAGTTGTGTGTTCTGTGGGGTTTCTGTATAAACTGGGGCCCTCCTCTTGTAAGCTGTTCCACGTGGGTGAATTCTACATGCCTGTGCAAAACCCCAATGAAAGTGCGGCGTTTGCTCACACAGAACAACTTACAGGATTTGGGTGTGGCTGAGCATGTTGCGGAGTCTATAGGGGAAACTGCCTGCACTTTGTGACGTCCACTACAGTATTCTAGTGATATCACTGGATGTAATTCATTTTCAAAATGTGCTTTTAGCATCTTGTGTCCCACGTGACAACCCAAAGACCTTCCATAAAGGCCAAATCCAGGAACTCATTGCCCAGCCCAGTCAGAAAGCCCTGCTTACATGGGCTCTGTGTTCTTCTGGGGGCACTTACCCCTGGGGTAACTCCTATATCTAGCCCCCTCTCCTGATGCAGGGGCATCATACCAGCACCACTGCTAGGGGAATCTCCATGAAGGGGGCAGTTGGGTTTGCTCTTTAAACCAAAATGTAGATTTATTTTGGTTTTGATTTTACATTTAGAATTTTAGACCAAAAATCACAGTGTGCTAAATATGGGATCTTTTTTGGGTTCCAGGAGGACTGGTTCGCAACAAGGGATAGACAATTGGAATGCATTCGCAGAGGAAAGGACAAAGTAGGTAAAGTGTTTGTTTTCACTGCCTAGTTATTAAATAAGTTACCATGTTGAATAGCATTTTAAAAACAATAGCAAGTATATAGGAATATGGTTTTGAAACTTCTGTTCTTTTACAGTGACTACACTTCTGACACACCCCACACTGCATGCATTTGGTCTTGCATTTATTTTCAGACTATTGTCTATTTGGCACTACCCTCTATCTATATAGTGCTATGCATATTTAAGCCCTGGTCCTGCAAAGCATTTTTGCATGTGGGCAGTAACACTGAAATCAATTGGGACTACTTACATGCTTAAAGGTAAGCATGTTCTTAAAGTGCTTTTCTGGGTCTGGGCTTTGCACAGCTATATACGTGATTAGTAATTTCTGTAAAAATACTTTTAAGATCTGATATTGAAAATTGTTGAGTATTAAAATTTATGTTACTCTTTAATTTATTTGCTGAGCTTGAGCCCAGTGTATTTGGACACATTCTCTGTGTTTTAAGGTCTTGCTTGCTTTTTGTGAAGGCACCTGAAAGCTTTCATGCACTCGCCCCTAAGGTATGAACATTCACTATTATTTTTTCTGTGTCAGGTAGATTGCCGAAACTACATCCTCCTCCTTCGTAAGATAAATGACACTAACTTATATGTTTGTGGAACCAATGCATTTTACCCAGCTTGTGATTACATGGTAAGCATTTTATATACTTAAATACACCCTTTACTGCGTGTGCATATCATTGTTTGAATAGTATGGTAGATCTTTAAGCACCTTTCCAAGTAATGTTCCTATGGAAAATTAGTAT